TGTCTGGTGGGTCCAAAGTTTCTCCCACTTATTTTCCTGCTTTCCCAGTTTACTGTTTCTTCACAATGCTCCTCCTTCAGTAACATTATTCTTCCAGAAAGTTCACTAGGATTTAGTACACCAAAATAAAAAGGACAACTATTTTCTTCTTAACATTTAAACCCAATTCACTTTTCCTTTCCATTTACTTATTTCCTTCTGTTAATTCTGGTTTCCAATTGGGAAATGGGGCTATTTTGAGCTACACCTTTGCAATCCTTTTATTCATCTCTTTTTAAATTTTCATTTTCATTTTTGAGACAGGGTTTCACTCTGCCCCCAGCCTGGGGAGCAGTGGCACAATCACAGCTCACTGCAGCCTCCATCTCCCAGGTTCAAATGATCCTCTCACCTCAGCCTCTCAAGTAGCTGGGACGACAGTGATGCGCCACCATGCCCGGCTAATTTTTATTTTTTAATTTTTAGTAGAGATGGGGGTCTCACTGTTACTCACTCTGGTCTCAAGCGATCGGCCCATCTTGGCCTCCCAAAGTGCCGGGATTTCATCATTCATCTCTTATATTTTCTCTGAGGCTTGTTTCCCACAGTCTCTGGTTCAGGCTCCCTCTTCTCATTTTGTTTTTTTTTTTTCACACATTGCTCTCCCCAATACTACCACCTCTTAGTGAAGGATTTTGCTTCCTGTTTACTGAGACTCCCTTAGTTACCCTGGCCTTGTTTAATTCCCTTGAACGTTCTGTCTCTATTTTGTGTTTACCTCGTTCCATTATCTCAGGATAAAATCATTCCTCTTCTCTTTAGTGGTAAGTTTTCTTTCTTAAAGCTTCCTAGAACCATTAACCTCACATAATTTCCTCTAACAATTAAAGCATTGTTTCTCAACGGCTTCTTCTTTTGCTTTCCTTTTTAGCCTCTCTCTCTTTTTTTCTAGGAAAACCGAACAACAGCCTAGCCTTTGCCATGCTACCCCTGTCTGTCTTTCCAGCTGTACTTCTTGAATAAATGGTCTCTAACTTAATTTTGTTGTCTTCACTCCTTTCTTTTTTCAGTATGGTGGCATTCTCCTGAAACCTCTCTCTTTCTTTTTAATGTCCTCAACTTCTTTCCTCACTTTGTTCATGCTTTCAAGTAGTCAAAAATAGTTATAATAGGTGTTCTAACATTCTCTGCTAATTCTATCTCTGTCATTTCTGGGTCTGTTTCCTCTGAGTGATTAGTTTTCTGATTATGGGTCACATATTTCTGCTTCTTGCCATGTTTAGTCATTTTTTATTGGATGCTGAACGTTGTGAGTCTTACATTATCAAGTGCCTAGATCTTACTATCTTCCTTCAAAGACTATTGAGTTTTGTAGTGGCAGGCAGAAAGATACTTGGTTTAGTCTGGCCCTTTTGGGGTTTGTTTTTAAGTTTTGTTAGGGCAGACCTAAAGTAGCTTTTATCCTAGGAAGAGTTTAGTGACATTTCTAAAGCATGGCGCTTCTAGTGCTTCCACTGAATGTTCCTAGCGATCAGTGAGGACACACCCCTCTGGCTGGTCGGCCCTTGAGCAATTTCCAGCCCTTCGTAAGCTCAGGAACTGCTCTTCAGTTCTCAATCTCTCTTCGTTCAGTGGAGTTTCACCATATACAGCAAAGGCTCAAAATGACACCATGCAGATTTCTGGAACTCTCTTTCTGAGAGAGAAACTCTGTAACTCTGCCCTACAATTTCCAGCTACTTCAATCCTCTTGAATTCGGATCTTGGGCTCCTCAACTCAGTAAGACCATTGTTGTCTTACGTGGGTCCCCTTCCCTTCTCCATTGCCAGATATGTGTCTTCAGGCAGAAAGCCCAGGGGATATCAAGGCCACCTTCTCTCAGGGATCACAGTCCCATATTACCTATTGTCCAAAGTCTGGAAACAACTGTTTCATATATTTTGTCTGTTTTTCTAGTTATTCAAGGTGAATTCCAGTTCCAGCTACTTCATTGTGGCCAGAAGTTGGAGTGTCTGAAACTACTCTTTTGAAGAACACCGTGACTGTTTCTAAGTAACTAAAGACTTTTCTTCATTCATTGCTCTTGTTTTAGAACAACACTTGGGTCACTGGCCATTGCTTTCTTTTTTTTGAGACGGAGTCTTGCTCTGTCGCCAGGCTGGAGTGCAATGGTGCGATCTCGGCTCACTGCAACCTCTGCCTCCCAGGTTCAAGCGATTCTCCTGCCTCAGCCTCTTGAGTAGCTGGGACTACAGGCATGTGCCACCACACCTGGCTAATTTTTGTATTTTTAGTAGAGACAGGGTTTCACTATGTTGGCCAGGATGATCTCTATCTCTTGAGTTTGTGATCCACCCGCCTCGGTCTCCCAAAGTGCTGGGATTACAGGCATTAGCCACTGCACGCAGTGGCCATTGCCTTCTTAAAATTCTGCTCCTGGAACCATTCTCCCCCTGACCACTCCCTCCCTACTTCATATTATCTTTCCTTTTCCTGAGGGGCTGGTGAGTGGGCAAGCTCAATCATAAAGCAGGTTGTAAATGGTGTTGGCAATTTCCAGGTTGATCAGGGACCACAGCTGGAGGAACCCAGGCAGTGGATTTTTAGCAAAAGTTTCCTTTTTAATCCTCATAGTTAGCATTTAACAAATCTGCTGATTGATTTTGGGCCCATTATACACTCATTTCTTTTATATTTATTTAGTAGCTTTTTTTAGAGATAAGGTCTCACTCTGTTACCCAGGCCAGAATGCAGTGGCATGATAACAGCTCACTGCAGCCTCAAACTCCGGGGCTTAAGTGATCCTCCCTCCTCAGCCTCCCAAGTAGCTAGGACTACAGGTTCATGCCACAAGACCCAGCTAATTTTTTAGTTTTTGTGTAGAGATAGGGTCTCGCTATGCTGTCTAGGCTGGCCTCAAACTCTTGGCTTCAAGTGATCTTCCTGCTTTGGCCTCCAAAAGTGCTGGGATTACAGGTGTGAGCCACCTTGCCTGGCCCCACTGTACTCTCATCAATTAGTGGGATGACTGAGAACTGGCTGCATTTAAGGTGTACGTATTTCAGTATGAATGCTATTATTTGGCAATCTCATATGGGGGAGTTCTCAAGAAAGTAAGAGCAAATCATTTGAAATTTAAATTATCAAGATTGCCATCTTTGTTAGGTTTGTGGTACTCCATTTTTACCTTGGTAGGTTCTCAACTTGTACAATTCCCCTGTGGGTCCTTTCCAGACCCGATAGTTACTCTTTTTTCTTTTTCAGTTTGCATATGTGTTTCTGTTCTGGGTGGTTTAGCAATACACTAACATTTTTAAACTTTGTTTCTTATGTCAGATAACATTAAGTAGGTTAATATCTCTACTGTAAATTATGCCTTTTATTTATTTGGGTTAATGATTTCAGACCCCTACAGGCAGAAGCATCTACAAATCCAAGCTGATTAAGCTGCCACTGACATTCAAACCTCATTTTTTCCCCTGAGAATATTTCTATTAATTATATTTAACTCTTACATGTATTTAATATAAAACAAATTTAACTGCATCAAAAAGATATCTGTGATAAACAGGCTAATGCTTAAAAGTAATATAGTGTTTCACATCTGTCAAAGGAAAATAACTCAGATGTACGTATCATTAGCTGTAAGTTTTACTGACATTAGATCACATTAAGGTAGCCAAACATCAAGCAAAGAATAATTATGCATCTTCCAATTATTCTTCCAACTCTCTCTCAAGAAACTTGTCAGCACAGGCTTGATGTATTGAGAAATAATGCCACTTTAAAGGAATCATTATCAAGCTTAAATTGATAATCTTTCAAATCAAGGACAATTAAATGCTTGCTTATCCTAGGAGTTAATTTGCTCCCCTTGAGACCTCACTTCACCTCCTCTAAGATTATTTTTTACATGAACCGATTGAATTTTTAAGAAATGCCCCCATGGATAATAGTTTCCTTAAACAAACAGAATGTTTGTTCATGGCTTACTGTAGCCTCAAACCCCTGGGCTCAAGCGATCCTCCCGCCTTAGCTTCCCAGGTATCTGGGTCTACAGGCACACACCACTATGCCCGACTACTTTTTTGTTTGTTTGTTTTTCTTCTGTAGAGACAGGGTCTCGCTATGTTGATCAGGTTGGATTTGAACTCCTGGCCTCAAGCAATCCTCCTGTCTTGGCCTCCCAAAATGCTTGTGTGAACCACCACACCTGGCCTAATATTGTATTAGAAGGAAGGAAGTACAATTCCAGGGCAGCAAGAGTGAGTAAAAAGGAAGTCAATCAGGGATGGAGAGAAAGCAAGTGCAAAGTGGGGCATCAGGAAGTGGGCTACAGCTTCATGAGATCACACAGTGGGTTGCTTGATCGGGTTGCATGGAATCATGGTGCACAGAGTGGTCCACCAGGAGTGAGGGAGATGACTTAACGTGCAGCTCCATTGCACCTCCTATCTCTCCTTGGTCCAAGTAGACCTTACAGAGTGATAATTCTCTAGCACGCCCAGGCTGTGTAACCAAAGACCCCTCCAGGCAGCCACTGGGGAAGCCACATCCCGAGGCACAGTGTATCTCTGCATCTGAAAGTCGGAGGAGGTGCCAAAGACTCCACAGTCTGGTTGGACTGACTTGAGAACCAGTTCTGCCACAGCTCTCACTATGTGGGTGGAATGGAGGCCATGCCTAAGGCAGTCATCCCACAGGAGAAGGTGTGCACCACCAGAGCTGTACCTTCTGCAAGCAGCTCGGAAGCCAGTCAGGCAAATCTGGGGAAGCTCATGAAAAAGCCCACGATTCTCCTTAATGTTATTTGGGCCGCTTTCTCAAAATTCCATTTAAAACACACTTTCTGAGCACCTATTATTCATATTTGCCAGTCTTTCTGCCATAAGCCCTAAGATAAAGAAAACAGAGCCCTTGGCCTCAGAATGAACTATAATTTATTATAATAAATACTAAGATCCTGGGACTTTGTATTAGTCTGTTATCATACTGCTATGAAGAAATACCTGAGACTGGGTAATTTATAAAGGAAAGAGGTTTAATTAACTCGGAGTTCTGCATGGCTTTGGGAGGCCTCAGGAAACTTACAATCATGGCAGAAGGTGAAGAGGCAGCAGGCACTTCTTCACAAGGTGGAAGGAGGGAAGTGAGGGAGAGTGAAGGGGAAATAGTCCCTTATAAAACCATCAGATCTCATGAGAACTCACTCACTATCATGAGAACAGCATGGGGGAAATCTGCTCCCATGACCCAATCACCTCCCACCAGGTCTCTCCCTCAACACCTGGGGATTACAATTCAAGATGAAATTTGGATGGGGACGCAAAGCCAAAGCATGTCAGATTTTAAATGAGAAAAATGAATTCTGCCTGGGAGAGAACAAGGAAAGCAACGACGATGAGAATGTAGATGAATAAAAAAGCTTCATCTGATGGAGCTGAGACATGTGGAAGGGAAGGATAAAGACTGATGAGACTCATAGAAGATTAACCAAGAATATGCATCCTGTCTCCTGAGTATGGAAATGAGGCTATCTCTGAGTGACCCTTGCAGCAGGTTAGGATTTTTGCTCCCTCACTTTTCTACTGTGATGACCACAGGTAAGGCATTGGGGAAATTGACAAAAAAGCCAACTAATCATGATTGAAGCCATACAAGCTTTCATTATTGACTTGGTGAGTTCAAAGCTGGCCATCTCAGAGTAGTTTTAGAGACCAAAAGTGTCACCAAGAATCCAGGTTCTTTCTTCTGTTCTGCTATCTTCAACTTATTGGCTTTCATTCTTAGCTTGATTGCCTCATGATCCTAAAATGATTCCTGCAGCTCCAAACGTTACATCTTCATATAGTAATATCTAGAAAGGGAAGGAAGGAAGGGACAATAAATGCTTTCTTCTCAAGCATTTCTCTCTTACGAAAGAACTCTTTCCCAGAGGCTCCCTTAGACATCCATTTATACCCGATTGACCAGAACTGGGTTGCATGTCCCAACCCTATGTTAATCAGTGGATAAAGAGATTAAGAGTGCCATGATTTAGTTAGATCCATCAAGATGCATCTGCTGTGACTGGGTTCATAACTGCACATCAAAATTGGCCTCCTTGTTTGTCAAACCAGTGGGTTCTTTCTAACAAACTGATGATGTCACTGGTATGCCTGAAATTCTTCTATGGCTCTGAATTGTCTACAGGGCAAATCCAAGTTCCATAACTATTTATGCTTCTTCGTGTCAGCCCTGCAATTTCACCCCCACCCGATCTACCAAGGCACTCTGTTTCAGATCTGTGGAAATAGCTGAGATTCTCTGAATGCCCCGTGCTCGTTGCTCCTTCTAGTGCTTTGTATAGATTGTCTCTTCTGGCTTTCCGCATTGTTTTCATAGCAACTACAACTTATCTTTCAAATAAAAACTTAAATGTCTCCACCTCAGAAAGCCTTCCAAGATGTTCCTCCTCTGTTTTCTCACGTGTCCTGTTTATACCCCTTCTACGACATATACAGCCCTGTGGCAATTACTTGTTTCTTCATCTTCCTCCTTCCCTTGACTGGAAATCTCTAGAGTTTAATCCAGTACCCAGAATAAAGCAGCCACTCAAGAAGTGATGATGAAGTGAAACATCCCTGTGGTTGTGTGCTTTCAACCACAACCGGGTCTGTATTGGTTTGATTTGCTGCTGGTTAGATCCTGATTCTGGGGACTGTTTCAGACACACCTCGTCCTCCCACAGCCTAAAGTCCAGCCTTGGTCTCTCTCATCCTCAGCAGATGATCTCAATGTCCACTTTTTAAAAAAGTATGATTGCCATTTTATTTTTTTCCAGAGGGTAGTTTTCCATTTTTAAGACTGAAAATGCCTTACAGGCTGTCTCGGAGGTCAAGGAGCAGCAGCTGTGGGTCTAAAGTGGGGAGGCGTATTGGATCCTTCTGGGCTTCACAAGAATGACTCCTGACTACTTGTCCATGAATGGCACAGCTCATATCACAGTGCAGTTTCCCAGACAGCTGGGAAGCACAGATGTGGAAGACACTCACTTCAGAAATGGCCCTGATGGCTATGGCCTCTATTTTGTTTTTTATGACGAGCTTAATGGCCTTGTCCTTGGGTACACGTCGGGTGTGGTTGTACAGAGAATAGGCTACATGTGGTGTTGGTCCATTTTGACACAACCATTATTTCTTCTTTTCTTTTTCTTTCCTTCTTTCTTTTTTTTCTTTTTCTTTTTTTTTTTTTGAGACGGAGTTTCGCTCTTGTTACCCAGGCTGGAGTGCAATGGCGCGATCTCGGCTCACCGCAACCTCCACCTCCTGGGTTCAGGCAATTCTCCTGCCTCAGCCTCCTGAGTAGCTGGGACTACAGGCACACGCTACCATGCCCAGCTAATTTTTTGTAGTTTTAGTAGAGACGGGGTTTCACCATGTTGACCAGGATGGTCTCGATCTCTTGACCTCGTGATCCACCCGCCTCGGCCTCCCAAAGTGCTGGGATTACAGGCTTGAGCCACTGTGCCCGGCCCTTTCTTTTTTTTCTTTTTTTTTTTGAGACATGGTCTTGCTTTGTCACCCTGGCTGGAGTACAGTGGCACAATCTTGGCTTACTGCAGCCTTGATATCCTGGGCTCAAGTGATCCTCCCGTCTCAGCCTCCCACATAGCTGGGACTATAGGCATGCACCACCATGCCTGGCTATTTTTGTATTTTTTGTATAGACAAGGTTTTGCAGTGTTGGCCAGGCTGGTATCAAACTCCTGGACTTGTGATCAGCCCACCTCAGCCTTCCAAAGTGCTGGGATTACAGGCAGGAGCCACCACACCTGGCTGTTTCTTCTTTTCTTTGTCATCTTGGAAGTGAGGACCTGAGAGACCTTAACTTCTACTTAGAGTGCATTGAGACACTAATTTCAGGGTCTTCGATGTTCCTTCATTCACTTTGACCCTCATTCTCAACGCTTAACATGTCTGTTGCTCACTCTCTTCATCCCACTCATCTCAAAGGAAAAGGCCTCTTTTCTCGCTAAGGATCTCACGTCCTCCACCCCCTCCTTGGACCTCTCTCTCCAGAATTTTCTATCTTCATTTTGACACCTGTTAGCACTCTGGTCTCCCCCAACCCTAACACAGCCATCAGACTGGATACTGTTGCGCTGTCTTACGTTTCAAAAGATTCCTGTCCTGTTGTCAATGCCTCAAGCCAAGCCCTTAGAGCAGGGATTGCCGAACTGGCAGCTCAAATACCAGATAGAGCCTCTTGGGGTGTTTTACTTGACTTTCACAGTGTTTTTAAAAGTGAAAAATTTCACTTAAAAATGAGAATTCCTGTCTTTTCCATAACGATCACACAGCTGACTGGTCTGGGCCACCTTTTTCTACATGGCAACAATGATGTGGGCACAGCTGCTGGCACTACATTTGGGTGGGGCATGTGGTCACCAGGTTGTCAGAATATCCTTTCTGTAAGCATTTGAATTTGCATGCTCCTAGACTTGTGGTTTTGTCCTTATCTTTCGCCTGGAAGTGCCCTCTTGAAAGTCATTGGTGATTTATTTCTTAGTCATGAGATGCACGAGTGTTTGCTCCATCTCCACCGCCCTTGAACTCTCTGTATCTCCTCGCCACCTCTCTAGAAACTACACCCAGCTTGGCTTCCTTAGACCTTATGTTTCTGGTTCTCTTAGATTCCTAATGCCATTTTTTTTAAGGTCCCATGGTGAACACGAATTTGCAATAGAAAAGAAAGCACGATATAATATATCATTTTAATAGCTGACAAATACAAAAACATTATAAAATAAAGAAAAATAATGTTTTTACTAAGTAATTGCCTGATACACCTTTATAATTTTTTTTGTCCTACAAATTTTGGCTTCATGTTCATTGATAGCCTTCTCATATGACGATTCTTAGGATCTCTCTTTTTTGTACAGGAACGTTGGTTGCAGCATCATTTATAATACCAAAAGGTGGAAGCAACCCAAATGTCCATCAACTAACAGATAAATAAACAAAATGTGGCATATCAAAGCTGGGTGCTGTGGCTCACAAATGTAATCTCTGCTACCTGGGAGGCTGAGGTGGAAGGATTACTTAAAGCCAGGAGTTTGAGACCAACCTGGGTAACATAGCAAGACCAACCACATCCCTCCAAAAACGAAAACCAAAATGTGTCATATCCATAGAATGGAATATTATTTGTCGACGAAATTAAGTAGTGATGGCAGCCACAACATGGGCAAACCTTAAAAACACTATGCCAAGTGAAAGACGCAAAAGACCTCAAAGGAAATCATGATTCCATCCATACAAAGCATCCAGAACAGGCAAACTCATGGAGACAGAAAGTAGACTGGTGGGCACTGAGGGCCAGGAAGCAGGGGATGGAGGGGAAGGGAGTGGTAGCTAATGGGTCTCTTTTTCTCCACCTGTGTTTTTTATTGTGTTAAAGTTCACATAATGTGTCATTTATCACCTTTGACCATTTTGCTGGCTGTGTTCCTTCTGCTCTTAAATGAAGGCTTTTCCTAAGGTCTGGTCCTGCAGTTGTACAGCAAGGATCCCTCCTATCTTCATGGCATGAGTGAAGTCATGTGGCTTTTGCCATCCATCCCTTTTTGTGAAGAGCTAACAAATTTTCCTCTGTCCCTGTCTCTCCCTCATGTTCTTTTCACACAATATCAATGATCTGCTGGAAATATCCTCCTGGATGTGTTTCTAGCACCTTATATCTGAAACACAACTTGTCATCTTGCCTCTGTCCCCTCTCCCTAACCAAACCAGCCTCCTTTCAGTTAATGAACTGTTGATGGAGTTCTCACAGTAACCCTTTCCTCTGCACATCCCTTTCCTTCGACCTCAGCAGCGTTTCTTCAGGCCTTTATAACACCTAGCTCCCAACTGCTCTCCTTGCCTCCTGCCTCTCGTCCAAATGTCCTTTCTTGCATCCTGGAAAAATTATCTTTTTAAAAGATTGCTGTGGGCCATGTGCGGTGGCTCATGCCTGTAATCCCAGGACTTTGGGAGGCCAAGGTGGGGCAGATCACTAGGTCAGGGGTTTGAGACCAGCCTGACCAACATGGTAAAACCCTGTCTCTACTAAAAATACCAAAGAATTAGCCTGGCATGGTGGTGCGCACCTGTAATCCCAGCTACTCAGGAGGCTGAGGCAGGAGAATCGCTTGAACCTGGGAGGCAGAGGTTGCCGTGAGCCAAGATCATGCCCTTCCTCCTGCTCTCTATTCAGTAGTTGAGAGAATGGGACATGAGGATTAGTCAGGATTCTTGTCCACTTTCTTCTCAACAATCTGGTTACATTTTACCCTCAAAGCAATGACAATCCACTGTTCCTACATCACTCTTTGTGCTTAAGAGACTGTTATGGATCTCTATCACTTGAAAAAGAATTTTCAAAAGTTCTGACCTTCTACCACCCAGGCCCAGCCAGATTTCCAACCTTATCTCCCACTGCTTTTTGACAGTTACCTAACATCACCTGGGCAACTTAAAGAAACCTAATGCTTTCTTCCTTTGCTGATGCAGGTCTATTGTTTGGAAGGTTCTCCCAGCATTCATTGACGCCTTTCTCAAATGTCTTAGTGGCAATGCCACCTGTCACATACATTCTTGCCCTGTATTTATGGCCAGGTCTTTTCTGGCTCACTGTATTGTATGCTCTTTGAGAGTAGGGACTGACTCCTTCTCTATCCTTTGTCCCATCAGAGTGCTCAACACATGACATTCTTTCCTTCACAACTATTTATATAAACCTTCTATAATGTCAGGCACGGAGCCAGGGTCTGGCAGGCACAGATGAATGAGGCATAGACCCTGTATTCATTCAACCTAATGAGAATGACACATGAAG